CCCCCCGCCAGCATATGTACATCAGTAGGCTTGCTGGGTCATTGGTAGAAATGAGATCCTCCTCTCTGAGCCACTTTTCTGCATTTGGGGGACTCCTCGTGGACACTTGTCATGCCTCCAGCCGCTTCACGAGCTTTCTCTGCTTTCTCGGGTTGGATGTGCCTCAACTGATTCAGCTGCCCCCTGTCGACAAGAATTTACTTGGTTTCCAGTTTGTTTGCTGCCACCAGCAGTACTGTAATAAACCTTTGACAGTGTAACAATCCATCTTATCGCGCTTGTGCTTTTTAAGTTTTTGTGGCCTACATTCTAGAGTTGCTGTATTTTAATACATGCCAGATAGCTTTCCCCAAAAGTGTAGCGATTCACATATTTTTAACTTTAATTTTGAGATAATTGCAGACTCGTTGAAAACTTTGAAACTTTAAAAATAGTACCACAGTGATTCTAGGACTGGAGCAGAAAATGTGCAAGGTGAACCCGAACACCTTGTGCCCGAAAATAAGGACCTACTAGAACCAAACCATACCCTCACTGACGGGGCATTGAAGGGACACAGGAGCCAATGGGAAAGAGCCCCCAGTGGCCACAGCTGAAAGCAATTTGAGCAACACTAAATAGCATAGTATTGGGTTATACCCAAGGGGTAAAATAAATGAGTCTGTGCTGATATAAATGACAAATGGTGAGAACAGACATATCTGTACAGAATTCCAGATAATATCTGTAAACAGTCTGCCTTCAAAGAGGGGAAACATGGCCCCCACTCCTTTGGTATGGACTGCAAAGTGACTTGCTTCCAAAGAGTACAGTATGGAAAGGGGGGAAGGCAACTGTTGAGTGGAGAAAGTGGAGCTGCATCAGGCAGGTGGTCAAGGTCAACGTCAAGTGGTGAATCATGTCGGCAATGTGTACCTCCTATAGGAGGCGATTAGATGATACTTTATCTCTGAGGTCTTCCTGAAACATACACTCTCAGTCTAATAAAGAGAAAACACGCGTCAGGAAAATTCCAGCTGAGGGATGTTCTGCACAAGACCCGACCACTGGTTCTCAGAACTGTCAAGGTTGTTCAAAACAAGGAGAGCCTGAGAAGCTGTCGCAGCCAAGAGAAGCCTTAGGAAGCATGAAGACTAAACGTAATGTGGTGTCCTGAATGGGGTCCTGGGACAGAGAAGACATTAGGTAAAACGTCAGGAAGTGTGAATAGTGTGTGGACTTGAATAATACTGTGTCCCTATTGGTTCATTAAATTGTGACAGGAAGACCACACTAAAGTGTTAGTAGGGGAAACTGGGTCTGGGTATATGGGGACTCTGTCCTCTCTTTGCAACTTTCCATAAATCTCCAAAATTAATTTTTAAAAAGTACGAAAAATTTTCATCTACCCTTCACGCAGGTTCTCCGTGATATCCTACACTGACTTTATCCCCCCCCCACGATATTTATGTATCTGTCCCAAAACAAGACCATTCTCTTACATAATCACGGTCCAGTTATCAAGGTCAGGAAATTAACATTGATAACAATGCTTTTCTCTTGGACCTTGATCAGATTTTACTGATAGTCACATTAGTGTCCCCAAATACAAAAGAAAAGTCCTGGCTAATGACTCAGTCCAGGCTCACACGTTGCATTCAGTTGTCTGGTTTGAAGCTTACAGGGCAGTTAGTTTGCAGAACGCTCCTCAGAGTTTGTTGCCTGATGTTTCCTTGTGGTTATATGTAAGCTGTTTTTGAAAGGAATTCCCCAAAATGAGATGCCCCTCTCAGTGCATCCTATCAGGAGGCACGTGAGGTGATCTGTCCTATTCCTGGTGATGACTTTGATTCCTTGGTTAAGGTGGCGTCTGTCAGA